TTAAGTATTAATAAGAAAACCAAATGATTTTTAAAAAGCCCATGATTTTTAAATGCTTTTTAAAAAGCATTTCTCAAAACTGTTCATAGCTCAGTTTTGAGAAATGCTTGCACATAACAACGTTGTACAATGTGACCAGCACATGGCATAGTGGTTACATCACTGGACTCACTCATGGCCAACAGTAGTTCAAGTCCTATACCCAGTAGCTTGAAAAATCACACTGCCCAAGATCCCAGGATGAGAATGGAGGAGAATGGATTGCAGTGTGGCCATCCATCTGGGGGATGATTTCTCATTTTCTCTTTCACTGTCTCTGTCTCTCTCCTGTGAGTGCATACACCCTAAGGCAAAAAACTCTTTAAAAAATACTGTACATGATAAATATGGATCTAGCCAAAATCTATAGATGTACCTGTGTTGGTAGGGTGGGGACCAAGATGGTTTATGGAGTTAAATCTATCTTCCATAGAAGATATCAATAACAATATTGACAGAGAGTCAATATTGAAACTAACTTTTGTTATGAGATCTGATCATGAAGTTCATTTCTCTAAGTAATATTGAAACATTAAATCACCGAGTCCTTGAGTGGGCCTTTAATGCATGTATTACTATTATTTCTGTTTCATATATAAGAAAAGCGAGGCATAGAGATTACGGAAACCTTCTGAGGCCATACAGCAGGGATATGGCAGAGCTGGAATGCCTAACCAAGCAGCTCACTTGGGAGCTTGGGTGTTAACCATGACATTATAACAACTTTTCACAATCTACGCTGTCTAATAAAGAGACAGAGTCTGGTGATGAGGTTTAGACCCACGAAGAGATGCTCTAGTGCAGGAGTTGATGGTATTGCTCTTTAAAGGAACAGGTAATAAATAGTTAAGGTTCTACTGTTTGTCTCCTATTCGGCTTTGCTGTTGTAACAGGAAAATAAGCATAGATAATATATGATGAATGAGTGTGGCTGTGTTCTGATAAAACTTTATTTATGAAAACAGATTGGGCCCGTGGGCCACACTTTGCCAACATCTATACCAGACTGCGAATGTACTTGGTTCTGAGAAGCAGGGTAGACTGGAGTGAGGGTATAGAACTGTTTCTCACTGGAATTTTTGTAAAAACATTTTTCTTTCTTTATTTCTTAAAAGAAAGAACTATTTATTTAATTTTATTTATTCTTACTAGTTTTTAATTTGACCAGAGAAAGAGAGAAAGCAGTCCACCAGGACTAGGTTTCAAACCATGGTTGACCATGTGGGAGTCCAGCACCTTAACCACTACACCACCTGCTGGCCCCAAAACATTTAATTTTCTGGGACAAGCAGTTAGTGTAATGGCTATGTCACTGGACTCCCACGTAGTCGACCGCAGTTCGAGTCCTGGACCCGGTGACTTAAAACTCATGCCAGGCGCGTGTGCGTGCGTGCCCAAGATCCTGAGAGGAGAATGGAGGAGAAGGGATTGCGGCGTGGCCATCCCCCCTGGGGGGTGATTTCTCACTTTCTGTCTCTCTGTCTCTCTCAGTCTGTCTGGCGAGCACATGCACCCTATAGCAAAAACCTCTCCAAAAAAAACCAAAAAAACAAAAAAACAAAAAAAAAACATTTAATTTTCTAAAAAAAAAAGGTTTATCTATAACTAATTAAAAAAAAAAGATGAAAGCTAGCCATCAAAAGGATAGACATATAAAACTTCCAAATCAGTAGAGGGAAAACGGAATGAATAATAATAGATCAGTTCAAAAGGAGGCAAGAAGAGAAAACAAAAAGTACACGGAACATAAAAGAACACAAAATCACACACATATTTTAGTAATCACAGTGAATATAAATAGACAAAACCCTTCAGTGAAAAGACAGACAAAACCCTAATCCAGCTATACACAATTGCAAGAGACACTTCTAAAGCTAAGAGCACTTAAAAATTCAAAGAAAAAAGAGAAAAAAGTAGACTAAGCCAATGCTAATGAGAAATTACTATTCATGTCAGACAAAATAGAATTGAAGCAGAATTTAAGGCAAAAAACAATATTAAGGTAGAAAGGATTATTATATAACACATGTGCTGAAAGATAAAGAAAATACATTAAATCTGCATGTATATTGAAACACATGATTTTATTACATTTTAAAATTAATTTATATCTAAATTTATATTCACATAATAATAGAGCCTTAAATAGGTAAAACTAGGGACCAGCAGTTAGCGTAATGGCTATGTCGCTGAACTCCCATGTAGCTGACCGTGGTTTGAGTCCCGGACCCGGTGGCTTAAACTCAAGCCAGGCACGTGTGCGTGCACGTCCAAGATCCCGAGAGGAGAATGGAGGAGAAGAGATTGCGGCATGGCCATCTCCCCTAGGGGGTGATTTCTCGCTTTCTGTCTCTCTGTCTCTCTGTCTTTCTGGCGAGCGCACGCGCCCTATAACAAAAACCTCTCCAAAAAAAAATAAATAAATAAGGTAAAAATAGGTTAAGTAGTACTTGATATAACTACAAGAAAAATTGGATAATTCTTAGTCCAAGATTTTTATTTTGTTTATTTTTGGCCATAGGACAAATGCGTTCACTGGAGAGAGGCAGAGATACAGAGAAAGTGAGAAATCACTCCCCGGGGGGGATGGCCACGTTGGAGTCTCTTCTCCATTCTCCTCTTGGGATTTTGGGCATAAATGCACATGTACCTGGTGTGATTTTCAGGTCCATGACTCAAACCATGGTCGACCATGTGGCAGTTCAGAACTTTAACCACCCTGTCACCTGCTGGCCCCAGTCCAAGATTTTTTTTTTTTTTTAAGAGAGATTTTTGCTATAGGGTGCAGGTGCTTGCCAGAGAGGGAGAGACGGAAAGTGAGAAATCACCCTGCCAGGGTGGATGGCCATACCACAATCCCTTCTTCTCCATTCTCTCAGGATTTGGGACATGCACACACATGCACCTGGTGTGAGTTTCAAGCCACCGGGTCCAAGACTTGAACTACAGGTGGCCATGTAGGAGTCCAGCAATGTGACCATCAGCTGGTCCCTCTCAGTCCAAGATTTTTAATACACATTTTTCAATAGTCAGAAGATAAAGTGAATGAACAAAAGCAAATATAAAGATTTGAGTGATTAAATGCATATATGCATTTTAATTTAGCAATACCGACCAAGTATTAGCATTAAAAGAATCCACAGCAAATATCAAAGAAATACATAAATAATGACATAAACCATGGTTTCTGACAATGATGCAATTAAGTTAGAAATTAATAACTAAAAACACACATCTGCAAATAAAAAAATCAAAATAACTCATGAGTCCATGCAAAACTTATAACAGAAATGGAGAAATACTTAAAAATGAATGATAACAACTCTGCACAACCTTTCACAAGCTCAACTCCAGACTGACACGGGGCTTAGCTGCGGTTTCATCCTCGCCAGGGACACAGGGGTCCTGACTAAGGAGCAGGGGACTGCACAGCCCTGGAGGGGGCCCAGGAGACCAGGGGTGTCCCAGTGCTAAGGCGAAGCAGAAGGTGGGGCTGGGAGAGGTGGAGAGAGGCCTGGGATCCAGGGAACTGTGGGAGGTAGCTACAGGCTAAGCAGGGTGGGTCTCTCCTGTTTGCGTGGGCTCATGCCTCCTGGTACTACTCAGAAGAGGAGAGGGACCTCTTCCAACTCACAACTAGGGTGCATGTGCAGTTAACTCCATTCCCTAGAGGCCTGTGAGCCCTGAACAGAGGTTCCCCAGGCTGAGCGAGTCCCCTACCTTGCCCTGCCCGTGGGGTTGGTAGTGCCCATCTACCCTGGTAGGAGACCTGGAGGGCCAGAGAGTGTACTGCTGCTGGGCAGAAATACTCCACATGGGCCCTCCCATGCAGCCCTGGGCTGAGGACACCTCTACATTCACATTGAAGCACCCACTTCGGTCTCACAAAACAGCCTGGCCTGGCAATTGAAGGGTGGCCCCACGACCCTGCAGAGGGGTAAGATTCTGGAGATGAGGGCGATGGCATCCTATTGCTGAGCCAGGCCCCAGGGAAAAGTTTTACCTGCAGGTTTTGAGTCTCCAGCCCGCCCACATAGGAAGGCAACCCATACCTTCTTGCTGGTGTGAGCACCATCGCTGATCTGTACACGCCCACACCAGACTCAGAAGGACCTAGATAGGAGGGGCAGGAGGGGCAGGAGGAGAGGGGCAGCTGGGAGTGGTCAGTTCTGCCTAGTGCCTGGATCTGAGAGGAGAGCCATCCTGGCTTCTGCACCATGACCTTTTTGTGGAGAGTAAGGAACGGGGATGGAGTGGGGCTCCTGATGCAGTGTCCTGATGCAGCCCCAGGTCTACCCAAAGGACAGCCCTGGCTGCACCTGTCTCTGTGGGACTCCAGTCTGGCTTCCTCCCATTCTCTTGCAGTAACAGAATCTGTCTTGGAAGCCACAGGTTCCTGAGTTCACTGCCGGGCCTTCCGTGGGGCAGGGGTAGCAGGGAGAGGGTCCTGACAGAGCCCTTCCACAGGATGGCAGCCGCAGTGATAAGCAAAGTGCAGGTGAGCCCAGGCTGGCGGGAGGGACACTGCGGCGGGTCCCCAGCTCAGGAGTGTGGGCTCCTGCTGCTGGCCTGGTTGGGAACTGCAGCAGCACTGTGCCGCGTGGCTGTGCTGCCGTGGAGACCAGGGAGGGGGCCGGGCCAGATAGGGCAGGGGGCCTGGTTTGCCGCATCTCAGGAGTCCCGCAGAGGCAGATCTAGGCGTCTGCAGAGCCTGCAGAAGCGCGCGCGTCAGCCTGAGCCGGGGCAGGGCCTTCTGAAATGGGCTGCCACCATCCTGCAGGTCAGTGTCCCTCCCGTGGCCTTTCTGGGGTCCACAGCACAGCCCTGGAGCCACTAGTGCCCAGTGCAGACCCACCTACTCCGTCTGATAAGCTGGCTCATCCTGGGTGCATGCAGACCCTTTGGTGGGTTGAGTGGGAGTGAGTAGGTCTTGGGGTGCAGGCAGGGGCATCCTCACTCACCTCTGCTGTTAGCGTAGAGGACCCCCAGAGCCACCAGGGCTCCCGTCACCAGCAGCAGCAGCAGCAGCAGCCCCCCCTCCAGGAAGCCTCGGTGCTTCTGCTCAGGCTGGCTGGCTTTCTCCATCACCCCCATTGGGCTTTCCGACTTCCCCATCAGCAAGCGCACAGCTGCACAACCTGCAGGCCAAGGGCAGGGAGAGGTGTGTGGAGCTGGGAGGCCCTGCCTGATGCTAGAAGGGCCTGAGGCTGGCTGGAAGCTGTCGCTGGGTGCTTTTGGGAACTCAGTCCCTCTCTCCCTGTCCAAACCCACAACTCTAGCCCTGGGCACCTCGATTTCAAGGCTATGAAGCACTACTCCTGGGCTAAAGTTTCTGAGTGCCTGGGGGTGTCCCATGGTAGGGAAGGACCTGACTGGCCATGGTAACAGTCTCTTCCTGAGGCTGGTCTCTCTCCAAGCCCACTCTCGGGTGGGCGGGGGGAGGGGAGGCAGGGACTTCTCTGCTCACAGCCTGGGGTCAGTTCCTGTGCTTTTGAGGGGCCTCTGCAATGGTGCCAGCGTGGGCACTGGGTCAGGACACTGTCAGGGTACAGTCTGGGCCACTGGACTCCTGCTACCTTTCCTGCTGGAGCCCTGGAGCTGGCAATGGAGGAGACAAGAGTAATCAGCGTCCATGCAGGTGGTGACCCTGCAGGCCAAGAAGGAATCCTAGGGCCAGGCCGCCATGAGGCTTGGCCCAGGCAGCCACCTGGCCGGTGTGCAGGTCTGATTCACCTCTCCCACTTGTTATTATAGAGGGCACACATTCTTGAGCCGGCCAGGCAGTGGGTGGTAGTGAGGAATACACAGGGCTGGAGACAAGCCGTGCTGTGGGCAGGGCGGGAGCTGGGCAGGGAGGGTGGGGAGGGTCTGAGGACGGCAGACTCTGAAGGCTCCTGTGTGTATGTGAGTGTGGACATGGGTAGGCAGGCATGAGCATGCGTGTGCCAATGGACGCATGTGTGGATGTGAGTGCGTGTGTGTGCATGGGTGGGAGTGGGAGTGCTGGGGCTGGTGACCCCCCCCGCCCCAGAAGCACAGACCAACATCTCTTGAATGAACTGATGAATGAGTGACCCAATGGTGTCGGCCTAGCATTTGCAGCTCAGGTTTCACCAACTTCTTATTCCTTTTTAATTAATTTGCTCACGATTTTGTTAGTTCCCTTCATTCTGTCCTGTAGACATCCACAGAGTTGATGGCCAAAAAGGCGCATACGGAATAAAAACCTGCCATTGGGAGCGAGCGACTTGAGGGCAGGTATGAAACCTCTGCGCTGGAGAAGAGGCAAAGGCAGCCGTGTACCGGGCCAGACTCCAGGTTATAGCGGGGGGTAGCGACGGTGGGTCCTTCCTTACTCTTCCAGTCAGGCGAACAGTGCCAGAGGGGGCTCCCTGCCCCAGGTACAGGTGAAGCCACACCTAAAGTGCCCTTCCCAGCCCCGTGTGAAAAGGGCTGTGCACTGAGAGGGTGTTTCCAGGCCCCACCCTCAGCAAACCTCACCTTCCGACCTCTCAGGAGCAGCTGCCACACACACAGGTCCCTGATGGCTGGGTCAGGATGGCCTGGGCGGGGTGTGCTGGACCAGGTGTGTGGGCTCCTGGACAGGGAGAGCAGTGGCTTCAGGCTGGGCCAGGATGAGCAAAGCAGGCTGAGGTGGTGCCCAGCTTCCAGGTCTCCTTTGTGATGCAGGTGTGGGCTCCCTGGAGGCGGTGATTCCTGCTCATAGTGGGAGTTCCGTTCTGTGGGGCCTTGGTGTGGGGGAGGGGGTTGGAGTGCTCACAGTTTCTGAGGATCCCCTCCTGAGTGGGCGCCCTTTCCCTGAGCCTCTGTCCCTTCCCTTCCAAGTCCTTCTCCTCCCTCAATTTAGTCTCTTCACCCCTCAGTCCACAGGAGCTGCTGAGAAGGAAGTCCATTCCTCCTACTCACCCTGTCCACCTAGCTCAGAGTCGTGGGCCACGGTGTGCCCCCTCTCACATCAGTCCCAGGACATAGGTATGTTTAAATTGAGCTGGCCTTGGTTCATGTTGCGGGGTGGGGGGGGCTGCCTTCGGACCCTGCTCTCAACTGCTGGGCCTGTGCCTTTCTGACCCTCATGCACTTGGACTGGTGGTCTAGTGGCAGGTCCTGTGTTTTGTGTGTAACCAGCACCAGTGGCATGTCCTTTGGATCTCTGTACAGCAGGCACTGAACTTCTCCCCCAGGTCTGCCCAGCTATACTCTGGGTAGGCACGAGGCAACCCACTTAGAGAAGACAGAAAGGTGGGACAGGTTAAAAGACATTTCTGAGGCACGCAGGGTGCCGCGACAAGAGCTGGGCCTCTGTGAACCCCACAACTCAACCTGCACACTCTCCTTGCCAGATACCTCCTGAAGTCAGGCCAGGAATTAAGCATCCCAGACAGGAGGTGAGGGGCCAGGTTTACACCATGTCCTAGGTCTCCATGGAAGAGCCACCAGCCCAGCCCCGATAGCTGGAGCTGTGATCCCCTCACCTATAGAAAGGGCTTTTTGTAGACCTGTCACAGTGTCAAATGAGAGAATGTATGCACAGTGCTAGGCAGAAAGGCGTGGTCAAGATTTACACGGAAGGGGCTAGGAGCACATGCGGAAGAGCTTGGCCACCTGAGCTGGGAGTTGTGGGCAACTGCTGACTGCCACCAACACTGCCGGTTTATTTTGAGAGGCTGGGGCATCTACCTTTCAGAGCATTCGTCTTTGAGGTTTGGAGTGGCTTCTTCCATAGCTGTCTAGAGTTATTTTCACCCTAGGTATGTCATTAACAGTGTTGCAATGAGTTAATTATCACTGATATGGTTTCTGTCTCCCCAGTGGTCCCTGACTTTGGTGCCAGTAGTCCCAGTCAATGGACCTGTGAAGACAGGATTTGGGGATTGGTCTGGTTGTATTACTGGGCCCGACTGCAGGCAGAGCTGTAGGTTAAGGGGACATGGGAAGCGGGTGATCCTCCACGTGTGGTGGCTTCCTGATTAGTGGAACTATCACCTGTGTGGATGGTAAAGCACCAACTAAACCCGGGGCCTTGGGAGCCCAGGTGCTGCTACTCTATGGCTGTTACTGCAGTAAGGACTATTTGTATCTGTGTCTGTTGGAGGGGGCGGGTAGGAGGGGAGGTCCCCAGGGAACCCAGTAGCACTAACAGCAAGAAATGACAAGTTCAGGCCTTTAAACTCTCAGTTCACATCACAGTCAGAGAATCAGAGAACTGCTTTGGCAACCCCAAGGAATCCTTTATTTTTCATGTGCACAGGTTGATAACTGCTAAGTCAAACCTGAAATTTGACATTTTTTTGAAAAATTTATTTCTTCCATGAGCAAGAAAGACACAGAGAAAGACACCACCTCCGACAGGGTCTTGACATGATGATCCATCCCACTCTCAGCCAGCCCTTGTGACTAAGGGATGTCTCTGGACAGGATCCTGGACCTTTCCATACAGGTCAGTTCCACAGCGTTGTGTTTTACCACTGCACCACTGTCTGGCCTCCAAACACAAAATTTAATTCTGAGAGCTGTATAATGACAGCCTTGCGTTCACAGCCTCACCAAAATTCTTATAAGAAACCAGATGCATTGATCAGGAAGATATGAAACACTGAATGGTCACACCATAATCCCCTTCTCCTGGTCCTCCAACTCTGGGGCACTTTGTGTGTGTGTCTTGCGTGTTTCAGGCTGATGAGGTCAGCGATCGTGGGATCCGGTATCTCTTAAGCAGTGCATTACTGCCGCACCGTGGAGCCAGCCCAGAAGCTGAGAATCTTGACCCCTCGAGTCCTCTGAGCCTCCCTTTCCAGGGGAATGCATGGTCGAGCTCACACGAAGCAAAAATTTATTTATTTTTCTATAGAGTGCATGCACTTGCTGGAGAGAGACAGAGGAGAAACAGAGAGACAGAGAGAGAGAGAAAATGAGAAATCCACACCCCACCCCACCCCCAGGGAGGATGGCCAATCCCTTCTCCTTCACTCTCCTCTTGGGATTTTGGGTATGCACACACAAACACCTGGCATGTTTTTCAAGCCACAGGGTCTGGGATATGACCTACTCTCAGCCAGCCACGTGGGTCCAGTCACCCTAACCACCATGCCACCTGGCTGGTCTGTCATTTTAAACATTTATTTAAAACAATTTTTATGTATTCGTAATGGGAAGTGAGTATGGGCATATGAGAAAGAGACAAATGAACAGCCTCCACAGGGTCTGGTCACACCATAATCCCCTCTTCCTGGTCCTCCAACTCTGGGGCACTTTGTGTGTCTTGCGTGTTTAGGCTGATGAAGTCAGTGATCGTGGGATCCCGTATCTCTTAAACAGTGCATTACTGCTGCACCGTGGAGCCAGCCCAGAAGCTGAGAATCTTGAACCCTCAAGTCCTCTGAGCCTCCCTTTCCGGTGAAAGCAGCTTGTCTTCCAGAGTATGAGGGACTGGAACTAGCCTTTTGTGCGAAAACCCTGATACTCTCAGCTAGGCCAGTGCCTAGAAAGAGAATGCTCATGCTATTCATCCTCCACAAGCAAGCCCCTGTGGAATCTTTACCCATGGCTATCCACGGCTCTCAGCATGCCCCTGGGTGTGGGGGTTCAGGAACAAAGTCTGCCTTACAGGAACTGGTTACACACTAAAACAATTGTAGGAATTCACTAATGCACACTCAGAAACCTGGGAGTACGCAAGTGAATGGAGGGAGTTGGGCATATTGATATGGGCATACCTATTAGTCGGATTTAAGATGTTAGCACACATTAACTGAGAAGTGACTCTGAAAAGTGTTCTTGGTTGCATGAAATTTGGACTTGATGGTGTCTACAGTTAATGACGTTGAGATGTCAGAACTTCTCTAGCCTAACATAAAGGAAGTCATTATGGGGCCAGATGGCGGTGCAGCAGTAATACGTGATGCTCCGAGGCTGACCCACATGGGAATATTCTGGGTTCCTGCCTGGAGATGGCCTTGAGTACTCTGGACATGTGAGTGCCCATGATCCGGGGCTGGTTAAGGCTGCGGGTGAATCACAGAGTCAGGACCTTTTTAGGGGTGCTAGCTCACTCATGAGGGAAATTAAAAAAATAATTATGTATTTAATTGTACTGATTTATTAATTTTTAAAAAATTTGACCAGAGAAAGAGAGAGAGAGAAAGTGAGAAAGCAAGCCACTAGGTCCAGGACTCGAACTGTGGTCAGCCATATGGGAGTGTCCAGTGCCTTAATCGCCACATACCTGCTGGTCCCAAGACATTTTTTCAAATGTGGGGAGGGAAACTGTACAAGCAAAGGAACTGTTCTTGGTCATCAGGCACAGTTTGGAGACAGCCTAGGGTAGCCCTGGAAGGTATGGCAGATCTGCAAAGAGCTTGAGCTCTTGGAAGGCCCAGGGCCAGAGCAGCCTAGAACTGCCCCCCAAGGCTGTACTCCTGGGTCTTAGGGAATGCATCACTGGTCTTGGAACCCTTTGCTGAGCAGGTGGAGAGGCTGCTGGGTCTGGTTCCTGCTCAGCCCTGCAGCAACAGCTATGGGCAAAGCCTGGGCTGGGCCCCAGTGGGGAGGAAGTTGGGAACTAAGACCTGCCCCTTTTCCTCAGGGGCCAGCAGTCTGCTGTCAGGAAGGAGTCGGTGTGTCAGTACAGTCCACCTCCGTGACAAAATACCTTAGACCAGTGTTTATAAGCCACTGAAATGAATTTCCCACAATACAGGAGGGCTGGAAGTCTGAGATCAAGGCACCAGCAGCTTCAGGGTCTCCTGCTTGTTAGCTGGTGCCTCCTGTGCCCTCACTTGGCAGGAAGGGTGAGGGAGTGCTCTGGGGCCTCTTTTATGAGGGCACTAACTCGCTGAGGCTCCATCCTCATGATCACTTCCCAAAACCTTCCCCTTGGGGGTTGGGATTTCAGCATACGGATTTGAGGGGGAAGCACAAACATTTAGACTGTAGCAATTATCAGGTAAGGAGATAGTGTGGTATGTTGTCCAATGGCAGGTCCTGCCTCTTGGAGAGGAAGAAACATCAGTGGACTGAGAGGGGTTGGGGGAGGCGCTGAAAGGGCTTCAGCTGGAGTTGGGTATCTGCAAGTTCAGGGACAAGCTTCAAGATAACCTTGTGTGAACAAATGGGCAAGACCTCTCAGGTGGGAAGGACAGCAGGAGCAAAGTCTCCAGAAGGCCAGAGAGGGCACCCCCAGGTGATGCTTCCCCCCTGCTTCCACTCCTGCTTGGCTCAGGGGCTGGGTCTTCCCTGTATCCCTGGCCTCTCACCTTACTGCCATCATGGAGACTCTCCCACCTGAGCCAGCCTGGCCCCACACCTGGCTCTTACTGAACCAATGAATGCACAGATGGACAAAGAGGCAGAGGACAGAGGGGGAGATGAACAGATAAGGGAGTGGTCTGGAGAGGACTGTGCCTTGGGGAATCTTGAAAAGTGGGACTACTTAAAGATTCCAAGTGGGGGCAGGAAAGGAGGAGAAACTGGAGTAGGGCCCAGAGAGCTCCACGCAGCTCCAGACAGGCGAAAATGGAGGGCTGAGGGCCCCACACCATGGTGGGACAAGTGGGACCGAGGGTGAAGGAAGAGGGCAACTAACCCCACCTGCTGCCTGTGGGTGTGCAGAGATGGGGGTACCAGGCCACTACCTTGGTAAAAGGCAAGGACTGGGGTCCCTCAGATGTCTCCAGGAGGTGAGTGAGGAGAGGGCAGCAGGACTACAAAAGGAAGAGCCCAAACAAGGGGATGGCAAGGAGAGGAGGCAAATTAAAGTGTCAAGAAGACTGAGGGAAGCCCAGGCAGCTGTGGCCCTGTAGCCACAGGCAGAACTTGGGGAGGGGCTCAGGGTCATGCTTCATGCTGAGCTGGCCTGCCCATGTCTCTTGTTCACGTTCGGGAAAGAAAACGTTCTAGCTTGGCCTTGTTTCCATGAAACCTGTGGTGATGGGGCAAGGCTGGGCTCCTCTGCTCCATCCAGGACAGGTTTTCCAAGCCAATCAGCAGGCAGCAAGTTTGCGCCGGCAAGCTAAATCCACATAGAATACCAACTTGTATTACTATGGCTTCTCAAGGAGGTAAGCCAAGTAGATTCCTGGGAACTCAGCTCCTTAGGGCCCATCTTGGTGGTCTCTCTGCTGGGGAGAAAGGGCTCCGTGGAGGAGGACTGTGATAGGCTAGAGCACTGGATTCCCTGTTGAATGACCTCCATGCACATGCTTTGAGAGGTCAACTCTATCGGTCCTGGCAGCAGGGTTGGGGAGTCTTGTCTTTGGGGAAGGCCCACACTCTACTGGAGGTCAGCCTGAGGCTTGGGCCAACGTCTGAGTCAAAGGTGGCTTCACGCCTAAGGGGGGTCTTCCTGGGCTGACACCGTATCCCCGGGGCTGACCTTAATTCTCCTCAACCTGCAGGATCTCAGGCCAAGGGATAAGACTTGGGCTGCTTTTTCAAGGCCTGAGCCCCAAGTGTGGGCTAAGAGGACCGATTTCAGGTCCTTTATCCCTTGAAGCAAGAGACTGTAAGTTTCCAAAGTCAGGCCCTCCATGCAAGCGAGAACCTGTCTCCTTTACACCCTATGGTGAAAAGGGGAAGTCTAGTTATCTGATGCTGACCCACCCTGCCGCTGAAAAGGGTGTGGGGAGCTGGGGTACAATCCAGGGCAGAGACGCTGGATGAAATGAACAGTGTGGCATTGTGACCGGGCCTGGGAGAGGGTCGGTCTGGTGGTCAGTGGAGCCGGCAGCCCGAGGATGCCTCCCTCCGGGTTTGTGCTTTGAGCCTCTTCAGGCCGCTGTGCTCAGGGTCTACCAGGAGGCCCCTCTCAGCCGCCGCCCAAGCCTCTGCATAGTGTTGCTCGTCCAGGCAACGCTGCCCACAGTGCAGGAAAATGAGGGCAGTAGAGGCACGGCCCGGCTGTTTCGACAGGCTGCTCTGGGCCAGGGTGGGCGCCAGCTTAAGGGCCTGGGTAAAGGCCACAGCAGCTCTGGCCTCATCACCCAGGCGCAGCAGCAGACGGCCCTGGGAGCAGAAGTCCTCTGCTTGCCTTGGAAGGTCGCCATCCTGTGCACCCTCCTGGAGCACATGCTCCAGGTCCCTGAGTGCCCGGCCAAACTCCTGCAGCTCAGCCAGGCAGGCAGCTCGCAGACGCAGGTGACAAGCACTGCCACCACTGGCAAGGACAGCCAACGAGCAGTAACCCAGTGCTTGCCTGGGCTGCCCTGCATCCAGGAGGGTGCTGGCTTCCTTGGCTGCAGCCTGCATGAGGACACAGGGTGGGGAGAGAGGGAGGAATGGTCAGCTCAGAAAGTCCATGGGCCCTCTACCCACCCGAGCCCCTCAGCAGCCAGTCTCTGCTCATTCCCTGGAGAGGGCAGCTCCCCTGGGCTGCAGAGGACTCACCTGCTTCTTCCAGAGGGGCTGGCTATGGGCAAAGGTAGGGCTAGGGAGTCATGGTAGAAGATATCATTTCTGCAGTTCCTACCACACTAGAAGCTGTGAGGCCCATCTCAGCTGACATCCTCTCTTGAGCCTCCAACCTCATGGTCTTCCCTTCTCATAGCCCTGCTGCCCCACCTACCAAACTCAGCTACTCTCACCTGGGTGACCAAAATGGCCTCTTCCCTCAATCTTCCCAGAAAAATCTTTTTTTTTTTGAAGACGTTTTCGCTATAGGGCACGTGCGCTCGCCAGACAGACAGACACAGACAGACAGAAAGCGAGAAATCACCCCCCGGGGGGGATGGCCACGCCGCAATCCCTTTTCCTCCATTCTCCTCCTGGGATCTTGGGCACGCTCGCACACGCGCCCGGTGTGAGTTTAAGTCACCAGGTCCGGGACACGAATCATGGTTGACTACATGGGAGTCCAGCAACATAGCCATTATGCTAACTGTTGGTCCCCAGAAAAAATCTTCTCAACAGGCCCTCTGATGGAACCGCCTCCTTAGCCCTTACATGGCCTCTGCCCAGCCTGGTCTCTGAGAGCCGTCTTCACTCCAAGATCAGGAAGGAAGGGCCAGCAGAGCATGAATGGGTTTCTGATGATTGCTAACCAACTAGTCAGAGAAAGCCAAAATGGCTACTGACTGCTCCCTCCTCTCAGCTCCCACTGCATCTGCTCCAGCATGAGCCCCAGGTGTCGGGGCTCACTCTATTTATCTTCCTGGGACTGGGAGAGTGGGTGCCCTGGGGGGAGTTGTGCTGGACTTGTCCCCAGTTCAGTAGGGCTCCAGCACGAGCCCCAGGTGTCGGGGCTCACTCTATCTTCCTGGGACTGGGAGAGTGGGTGCCCTGGGGGGAGTTGTGCTGGACTTGTCCCCAGTTCAGTAGGCACACGCGGCAGGGCCAGAGGAGGCTAATCTGTGAGCATCGTCCACCCTAGCCTTTCTTTCCCTGGGGACTGCTGGACTGCGGGCCAACCTCTCTGACCTGGGTGGCAGTGACAGGCCAAGTCTGCAGTACTTTCCTTCTCTGAGACAAGGCTGAAACCCACACTCAAAACCTGTCCTAGCCTCTTACCTCCTTTTCGCTGACCCTAGTTCTTTAGTCTACTATGAACCCCTCAGATACCCTACGGCAAATTTTCTTGCCTCACCTGGCTCCTCCTTGGCTCAAGAGCCTACAATGGCTTCTGCTGGCTGTGGAAGAAGGGACACAGGGGACTCCGCCTTTTTAGCTGTCCTTTTTTCCCTCTCTAGGCAGCAGATTGATTGCACTCAGTCTCTGAGCCTTAGCACAACCACTCTCTCCTCCAAATCCCAAATCCTCCTCTTATCCAAGGAAAGTTCAACGCTTCCGAGGACTCCGCAGGGGGCACTGGAATGGTCTCTTCCAAGATGTGAAGGACACTGCAAGGGAGGACCAGGAGTGCTCGGGGCTTCCCCCGTGCTGTGTGAACCTGAAAGTGCCTAAACCTCTCTGTGCAGAGCTGCCTGGCCTCGAAACCGTATAAATAAATGAATAAGTGATATGTGCCATAAGGATGGAGCACAGTGGATCGTTCCCTTACATCTGGGTCGGTGTCTGCATCCAGCCCCAAGGGACCCACCAACGGCCTCTAGCGGCAACCTCAGCTGCAGGACTCCAGCGAGAGCGCATGCAGTCGCGCAGGCGCAGTGCCGCCGGCAGGGCTCGCAGCGAACGAGACACAGCGCTGTGCAGGAAGCGGGTGCATATCCACTTCCGGGTCGACCTGGGTTGCCTGGCTACCGCCTCGCGTCCTGTGGATTCCTGCCTAGCGAGAGCGCTCCTCCAGGCGGCCCCGCCTAGCCCCGACTTTGGGCTCGGAGACCTTCACTGCTGCTCGGTCCCTCCTTCCTGCTCCGACTCCAATCCGCTCTCCGCGCTCTGAGCCCCCAGCCCTGCTCTGCTGGCGCCCCCTCTAGTTGCAAGTACCGATAACACCATCTCAGCCTTCGTTCCCGCAGCCCTCGCGTGGCAGCTGTTTCCTCTGCACCCAGCTACCCGGTTTAGCCTTTACTAAGAGCCCTCCGTTGACACACCTAGTGTAGCTTCTGTTTCTGTTCATCTGCGCGGACCCCGAGTGATAGGACTCACCGACGCACGGAGAGGTGAATTGCTCTGGCCTCAGTGGAACACGCCGCTTTGATTTGGAGTCCTTGGACTCCAAGGCCTGCCCGTGCTCTGGGCTTCCCCACTGGCACCTCTCCTGGCCTCATCTAGGCGTTGGGCAGACTTTTTGCAAGAATGACGTACTCCTGACTGGCTCAGCCTGGTTCTGAGGAGATGGTCTATCTCTCCCCCTCCGCAAGTCACCTGTGGCTTCCATGCATCATGCAGAGGTTCAGAGGTTTTTGGGCTAAAGTGGTCCAAGACAATCTTCCTGGGTCAGACCTTGTGCTTTCTACTTAGACCCCCTCCCCACCCCAAACCCAACAGCAAGGAGCAAAGACCTGCCCTGAGTGGACCATGGTGCTGGAGGGGCTGGCATTGGGTCATTGTGGGGTGCTGCTGACCTGGGCAAGGCTCTGCTGCTCCGAGGGCTCCAGGAGATGCAGCAGGAAGCCAAGGTCCTTGGGGTCCGTCTCAGCCAGGCACTGCAGGTCCTGAGCTGCAGCCTGCAAGTCTCCCTTCTTGAGCCTGAGCAGGCCCAGTCGGGCCTGGGCTGCCTCTGACAGTGGGCCCAGGCATAGAGCTTCCTGCAGGTGGGTGTCAGCCTCTTCATAGCTGCCTGTCAGGGATTTGGAATGATAGTCAGTGGGTGGGCCTGGGGCAGGGGTGCTCTTTCTGTTCTGCATAGACTTAGGGCTGCTGATGAATGGAAAACCACAGGAGGAAGGAGCCGGGAGCAGAAGCACACTGATTCCTCACTGGGCATGTGGACTTAACCTGCTGGCCTGATACCCCACCCCACTCAGAGAAGCAGGGTGCTGAATCCCCTCACTGGCTGATGTAAGGGACTCTTTCTTTCCCTCTATGCAGGGAGGCTGGGCCTGCCAGAGCAGAGCAGCAAGGTTGGGAGCAGCCCTGTCTCCCCAAGGTCCTCGGTCGACAAATGCAGACTGCAGAGAGAGCTCTCTTTCAAATTTGCAGTGAAGTGGTTTCCATTTCAGGGTGGTGTCAAAATTGGCAGGAAAGACCTACCTAGTGCTCGTGGGCTTTAGATAGTCTCCCCAGTATGGGGCCTGGCATTTCATGGGTGCTCAGTAAACAATTGCTGGATAAATGCATAAATTAATGAGGAGGCCTAAGTGAGGCCTTTTATGAGACCCCATCGCTTTTCTCTACACAAACAGTCATCAAGCCCCATAAGGGACAGAG